CTCCCAACACATGTTGGTACTACCTTTAAGCAAAACATGTTAATTCTGTCTTGTATTTTCGCACTAAAAAGTTAGACATGTGCAAAACACTTTCACTGTGAACTTAAAATGAGCACAAGTTTCCCAATCAAATGGTGTTGAGGGAATCCCGCCAATACACCTTGATATAAAATTGGATCAAAATCTATTAATAATTTCCTGAGTTTGCGGCTACCAAGCTTGGCATGTGCAAAACTGTTACACCTTCGCTGTGACCTTTAAAATGACCTCAAGGTCACTAAACTCAAGTGGTGTCGGTAAATCTCCAATCTCCAGTCGATAAACCTTGGTACCAAATCGGAACAAAATCCATCATTTCTTTCTCGAGTTCTTTCAGTAAACAGAATGGGGAGTCATTTGAACAAGCGGTTGTAGTTTTGAAATTGCTTTTTTGTGCAGTATAATATCTAAGTTCGCGCAAGGAGGGAAGCGATTTTAAAACCCTAAGCTCCAATTAATATAACTATTGGTATTTATGTAAAGAGAGAGAAATATATCTCCTGCCAGGTGAATGCAATCATTTGAATAAAAAAGAAATTTAAAAACTACTAGTCAGATTTGAGTCATGGAAAAAGTGCATCTATCTTACCATTCCATGATATTATTTTTCTACAACCGAAATATAGTTTGGTATCAAATGATGTGGTTAATGCGTATATTTCTTCAAAAGGGTAAAGATGTAAAAGATGGAATCCATTTCAACAGCTCAACACATCATCGTCATATCAAATGGGAATCCATTCCAGCAACATCAACAGAAATGGGCTTCAACATTGTACCCAGGTTCGAAATCGTGACGAGTAAACGCTTTAACCATTAGGTGTTTCGTCATTGGTGTTTTTCTCCAAAATATGTGGATGCGATTATACATTTCATAAGTTCACTTCTAGTTAAGTTGATAGGGTTCATGTAGGTAGCAAAGGCGCTGTAAGTCCCCATGGTCCTTAGTATGGTGATCTACGTTCAGCTGCTGACGATCTATAGCCCACTTTTATCTTGTAATGTCCTAAATAGTATATATGTTTAAGTTACATGCATTAGGTTAGAGTTTTAAGTCTCTAACTGTGATATACTAATTATTTTACTGTCCTTTGGAGACAGATTGTAAAAATAATATTATACAGTATTTACTGTTTTAGTCAGGATATGGCTGAAATATTGCCAAAAGTGACTTTAATTTTTTTTACTCACTCCCTCACTCTAGTTAAGTTGAAATTGTTGAAATTGAAGGTGGTATGGCATCTTAAAACATGTTTAGGCATATAGGCTTTTTCTACTCCTCACTGAGTTTGACTGGAATAATGGACGTTGGACCTATGTTGATATTAATTAGAGCGGCTTTAGCCCGTTGAAGATGGCTAAGGGGGACTGGATAAGTAATCTCTTTAACAAATATGTTTGTGCTTATGTCTGCATCAGCATCCCTCGTCATGTTTCAACCAAAGCCTACATCCAAACGGGGAACTTAGGTCGAACTCCGTGTCAACAGTAGTCAGAAAATAACGAGCTTGGCTCCATTGACATGTCGGCCACTCAGTATGCCTCGCATTCAGACACATGAGTTATGTTCAGATCTACATCACGTTTAATCACACATACGATAATCATTCGACAGAAGGCTGTTGAAATGGATCATATAGCAACAAATATGTAAACGTTAGCTAAAAAATAATAATATGATCAATTCATGTTGAAAACTGTTCATTTTTATGAAAATTGTCCGAAATCTTGGTTAGTTAGATAAGACCCATTTACACTTGAAAACTACCTGCCTATAATTATAACATTTGTAAATTATTTACTGCAGTACAAAGGACCGACTGGTGGTAACATGCTTGCTCTATTTTCGTTTGATTGCACAAAAATAGATAATTATTGTTGTGTGCATTGGTAGACTTTAAGAAGACGTTTGATAATATGGATTATGGGGGAAATCTCTCTTTTTTGACATTTTCGGAAAGCTATTTAGACTAACAAGGGATATGTGCGTTAATACAAAACATTTTGTTTTGATTTTGTCACCATTATTGTTCGCGATATACTTGAACGACATTACTGCTAATACTCTAATGCAAATCACGCTTTGCTGGGGTGACAGGATTAAATCATTGCCCCTATATATCACTCTCGAGTGACCCTGTTCTGGAGATGGATTCAATCTATAGTGATCAGCAAGTGTCCGGTGTACTGTTTTAGATACACCTTAGATTTGGATGTGAACACGAGTGGTACAGCATGCTGAATCCCCAGTGTCCGTGCTTGTATATCCTGGGTGCGAATAACAATGGATGTGTTTATGAGAAATGCTGATACAACAATGTCAGTCGCCATACAGCAGTCTTCTCCATTCCAATCTCATATACAAAATACACAGCCATGCTAGAATCAGTAGTAATAAGTCTATACCATGTTACATCTAAGGCAGAAGTGGACAGTCGTACTTCAACAGGCAAGCAGAGATAAAGTGCTGTTCACACAATTTAAATAGATTACGTGTCTTTAGTCATTGCGTAGATATCAGAGAGAAGATGTATTATATATGTTATATTTGGGATTACACTTTCTCAGTGCCCGTGAAGGTCCGGGTTAGAATATTGATCTTCAGTAGCCCATGCTTGTCGTAAGAGGCCACTAACGGGATCGGGTGGTCAGGCTCGCTCACTTGGTTGACACATGTCCTCGGTTCCCAATTACGCAGATCGATGCTCATGCCGTTGATCACTGGATTGTCTGGTCCAGACTCGATTATTTACAGACCGCCGCCATATAGCTGGATTATTGCTGAGTGCGGCGTAAAACTAAACTAAACTAAAACACCCACACCCACACCTCTAGAGCCCTACCTGCAAAAGTTTCCTGGCGGCGTCGTCTTCAGGATCAGCTGCTCCAGATGATTCACAGTGACCACAAGACTACGCGCTGCCTACATGCATGTCCGTGATATTATCCCATTCAGTCGTCAGCGCCAGCACAAACAGGTCAGTATCGCATGTCGACATCACTGACACACGGCACGATGTCCTAACGTTCGGAATAGTGTTGGTATTCATGTAAATGCGCTCATTTCCAAGTATTTTAAATCATTTGGTTATACTGACATGTATGCTTAGTGTCGAAATGGTTGGAGGTGAATAGAAGCGACAAAATCCGATTGTGACTATATCATGAGCAGATATTTGTTTCAGCAACACTACAGCCGTGTGATTGTTTGTCAACGAATCGGATCTGAACCAGGCAACCCAGTGATTGTCACCATGCGATACGATGACAGAGCATGTGTTTATAAATCACCAGGTGTTCGCGAAAAGGTGAGCGCATCTGTGAAGAAATGCCCACATTTGCACCAGTGACCATACCTGTTCAATATCGTGGCAGATGTGTTATGTTGTGTTCAGATAACACTGCTTGATATGTGTCCTGTGTTAGAAGATACAGTTTCTTAAGTTCACATATTTGTTTGGTTGTTATTTATCACAGTTTATTTACTTAACAATAGAGTTTACTTTATTAAACACAAAACATGTAAAAGAATACCAACTTCAGTTGGGTGCATTGGACAGACGTATTACCTGTCCATTGCGTGAAATGAGCAAGGTGGATCCCCATACCGTGAAATGTTTTGCGTATAGCAGTATCATACACTGGAATTAATGTCAAATGAGACGTGGGGCGGTGGGGTAGCCTAGTGGTTAAGGCGTTCGCTCGTCACGCCAAAGACCCGGGTTCGATTCCCCACATGGGTACAATGTGTTAAGCCCATTTCTGGTGTCTCCCCGCCGTGATATTGCTGGAATATTGCTAAAAGCGGCGTAAAACCAAACTCACTCACTCACTCACTCAAATGAGACGTTGGCAGGGAGAATTAATATAATATAAGTAATATCAGACAATTTAAATCCTCAGTTTCATTAATAACCTATCATTTCCCTTATACACATATTATTATACATTAATTTGTGAGTGAGTTTAATTTTTACGCCGCACTCAGCAATATTCAAGCTATATGGCGGTGGTCTGTAAATAATCGAGTCTGGACTAGACAATCCAGTGATTAACATCATTAGCATCGGTCTACGCAATTGGTGTCAACCATGTCAGCGAGCCTGACCTCCCGATCCCAATAGTCGCCTCTTACGACAAGCATGGGTTGCTGAAAATCAGTTCTACCCCGGATCTTCACGGGTCCATTAATTTGTAATTAAGAGCTTATTCCCCATGTGTGATACCCACATGCACATTACAACTGAACAGAACATTAATAATTCATAATTAAAGGATGAGTGGTTGATAATCACATTTCATTAGGTAAATAGATTTACAGATTGAGGGATTGACACAGAAATATTTCGGTAAAACGTTTGTTCTTTCTTCAACAAGTAATTGACATACGAGTAAATGAAATTCGTCACATACAGTTTGATTACAAAGATTACATAGGCATTTCTTTTAAAATATCTAGCCAGCGCCCTGTTTTTATTGATAACCTGTGATTTGTTGTCCTACATCTTGTTAGCCAAATTCTACTTTGAAAGGGTAATTTAAGATCAGATTCAGGAATATGTACATTTTTACACATTGAATGATAAAATCCTTTTGATGATTGAGCAATACTTGAGTTCTAAGATGGTAAAAACTGGTCTAGAAGTAAAATTCATGCAGCTTGGTGTAAGGCCAATACTGTTGCAATAGTGCATGACGGTTGTCATATACACTGGGTAGAAACATAAATCTATACATAATTTTCTCTAGATAGATATTTTTGGGGTAAAGTACTGAATTTCATCTTACTGGGATTATGGCTCAATCCAAAAGCTCAGTCAACATATGTAGAAGACATACTGACGTTACAACCGAAATTGTCCCGATACCTTAGTGTGTTGTACACAGGGAATACAACCTTTGAACATTTCAGTACGTTTCAACCAGAATAGCTGCCTTGTTGTAACATTTCTGTATCATACAGTAAGACCTGGCCCCGATTTGTCGAAACAAACTTAAGATTTTACTCAAATTTCAAACTGAGTTTGACAATTGAAACAGCTGAATTTTTAACTCAACTGCATTTTAAAAATAAAATAGCCCAAACAACTTAAGTAATCTATCCTACAAACTCAAATTGTCTACTTTGTTGGAGTTTAATATAGATTTCAGTTCATTTTGGGAATTGCATTTTCCTGCGTTTTCTCAAATTTGAGTAAAAAACTCTAACTTAACAAAACTCAGACTTAAGTTTGTTTCGAGAAATCGGGGCCTGGTATCTGATGATTGATAAAGATCTGCTCAATATGAATTAAGGTGCTTTACTTACAGGTGTTCAAAAAGTTATGTTGACTCATGGTCCTGGTACATATATACAATAGTTCGGATAGGTATCGGTAGAAGTAATTAATCACACACACTGAGCTTTAGCTAACTCTGAGATAAGATACAATGTAGCATTGGTGCCTAACAGCATTTTAGAAGATCAGTATATGCTGATATGAGGAGTGTCATAATTCAGTTTGTATACTCACTCATGGTGTTTATCAGTAACAGAGATATCTTTGAAGAGAGTTTCAGCAGCAGTCATTCAAGGTTGAATTTTCTCTCTAACCCTAATTCTGTAAGTCTATCCTCTGTAGTAATTTTAGTAAATGGACGCGATAACTGCATCTCCATCCTTGATATGGGGCACCTTTAACACGTCATAAAACCAGTTCTGTTAATGCTTTATCTGATACTGAACCAGTAAAACATTCTGTGACAAATGTTAGCGAGCCATTTGGACCACACACAAGACGTTTCAGTGTAGTACTAGACTTACAGTCATTGTTCAGCTGATTAACTCAGTATCATCAATAACAGTAATAAAATTCGGAAAATATCTGGGCGTATTTCATCAAATCATGAAATGGTGGTATCTCTGTGTATCCATAAGGACAACCGTCCTAGTTTGAAGAACAGGTGTTCTACCCAGTTATTCCAGGTATCAAAGACTGCACAGTCCGACTGTGATGGCAAATAAAATCTTACAGATATATCTTTGAAACCAACATTCTCACGCAAACGGCAATGTGTCAAAAATAAACTTCCCTGCTGACGAACTGATAGTGTCATAAAGTCCCTTTTCATTGGTCACGACGAACAGCCTACCACCTGGACTAGAAACATTAAGAGTGCCAAATGTGCGGATGTATGTAATGCCAGTATAATATCTAAGAGTTTTTTCCAATTTTCCTCTTTCCCCTTAAACTTTTCACCAAATGTCTGCACTTTGCTATCTTCTTCTTTAAGTTTCTTTATCTCTTCATCCTAAAGTATGATTAAAATATTCAAAGCTGCAATCGTCATTTGCTGCTGCTCAACCTGGCCTCGAAAAGTAACAATTATTGCTGTCAGATTCGGAAAATCCACTGTAGACATCCCTGTAACACAAAACGTGTCTTAAGCAATAACACATACGTAAGATACCAGGCAACACAAAGTTCAGTAACTTTGACTTGGGAACTATAAAGCATAAATACGCTGCTTGTATTCAGGATCAGAATATGGCCTTAGTACCACATGATTGCTGTAGGAGTACTTTGGTAATGGTCTGACAGCGTTCTCTCATTCTGTCAGCCAAGAGTGCGCACTCACAATCTGTATTCTCTTTCAGACAGACAATAGCTGTAACAACACTACCTCACACCCAATACACAGCTGAAACATTCCAACAGACGTCGCCTGAAACACTACTAACTGTTTCAACAACTGGCTTCTTGGATAACGTATTCCCTAAAGAGAAGCAAACAATATATGGCAAGGCTCTCGTATTGCAAAACAAATTAACATTCTATGAAGTCCAAATATTTGGAAACATTTCAGTCTGCCTCATTCATTAACAATGAGTTCAGTTTTTTGGGAGCAGGTTGTATCCTGACGTACCATTCATGATAATGCTGTGTTTTATGCACATATTGTCTAGCGTGTCTCATTGGCCATCTGGTCTGGTGTTTGTATATTCTATGTTCTTTTTCCACTAATCCAGCTAAGGTCCATGCAGGAAGCAAATGTACTGTAAGTCCCACTGGTCCCTAGTATGGTGATCTACCTTCAGTTGTTGGCAATCTATAGCCTGTTTTTATATTGTCTTGTCATTTCTAGTTAACATGAATTAGATTTTATACTATTTTTATATGGATATCTGTGATACACTAGTAGTTTTACTGTTCTTCGTCAACAGGTGTTAACTTCTAATTTTATTGATATATGATATAATCATTAATTGTTCTGGTCACGATATGGCTGAAATATTGCCGATGTGACGATAAAAATTAAATCACTCACTCCACTGTCATTTAAATTGATATGTACCTTCACGCAACAGAAAAATAAACTATTTTGTCTCTTTGTAAAGAAACTGAACTGCTTTGTCACGAAATACATGGGTACCGACAGCTTCCTAGAAGATATGATCTGACGCGGCAGAACTCGCACGGACGTTTAAGTTATTACTGATCAATGGGAACATCAGATTTTACATAGGTAATAGACAAACTTAAGTAAACCAGAATGGTCTCAATGTTTGCATTGCCATATTGTGAGTAGTTACACAGTCAAAGGAAAATACATACGTCTCGCGTTGCACACATGTGTAAGGGGAATGAACTTTTCGGCAGTAGTATACATGTGCACTTATTTTATATTTTCTGGGCGATATTCAATTCCAGATATGTTTAGACACCTGGAGTTGAAGCTTAGAATCAACCTTGTGTACTACTGGAGCTAGATTGATCTGTATCATAAATTCTAACTGCATGTACGCAATGTGAATGACGGATTGGTTATTTATAATTGTGTTCTATGACCTTTTTCTATTTGTAAATAATAATGTAAAAAAATAAATATGTATGCATGTATGCAGACTTGGTCTCGTCTTTATATGGCTGACATAATGCCTATGCGACGTTAAACTCAACTCAGCTCAACCCTTTAGTAAACCTACCCATGCAATACATATCTCGGATACCGTTTGTGAACTGAACTGTTTTCTCATATCTAGTGAAGAGAATGTCACCTGACCACTCCATAAAATCTGGGTCAATGTTTGCGTCGAATTTTTAGTAGTACATGAAGCTGAACTGTTATGAAAAAAGTCTCGGTTCACAGAGGTGCAAACTTATTTTCTAAAATGATCTAAACATTACCTTACACTTTCTCATCATAACAGGTATATGTACCAGAAATAGCGCACCAAAAGGTAATCATATAGCGTAGCACAAAGTTCAATAATTATATATGCTACATTGTCCTTGACGTCCTAACCTAAATTTGATGTTCATAATGACAATATCTCATGTTGATCAGCTAACAAAACCGGTTGTGTACACGCTGTCGACCTGCATGCATCACTAACAAAGCGTAATAATAAGGAGAGCTCGAGAAAGTTTATTCAACCCGTCCCACCGACACAGATACATTCAACGACAAGCCAACTGTTCACCTGTAGTAAAATAACAACGGGGATCCACGGTATAAATCTAAAGAAATAGAACGTGGTAGATTTTATCGTCCTGCGACGCCACTTGCAGACAGGCTTTGTCGTCACTGTAGTAGTCAGGCTGTCGAAGACGAAGTCCATTTCTTAGTTAACTGTCCTTATTATTCTGATCTTCGGTATGATTTGTTTAGAAAAACTAGTATCTTCCACCCAAATTTTGCTCAGTTATCAAACACTGAACAAGCTACACTCCTCTTGCAAACAGAAATTATTGTTAATCCACTGGTCGCTTTAGTCAGCCGTATGTATCGGCGTAAGCTATCATCCCTATGAAATTTCTTTCTTTTTCCTTAGGTCTTTCATATGTGTGATACTCCTTAATGTTTTAATCTTATATTTTATACATTTTATGCACATATTGTCTAGTGTGTCTCATTGGCCATCTGGCCTGGTGTCTGTATTTTTCTATGTCTTTTTACCGTTGCCATTTTTTGACATGTACATTCTTGTGACACATAAATAAACTATTTTGTCTGTCTGTCTGTCTGTCTAAAGTGGAAATTAGATCGGGTATCACGTCTTTAATATATACGTGAAAAACGAATACCAAACCACACCCGTGCAGACGTAGAGGTCCGCTTGCTAAAATCCAAAATCATACCGCATACATTTTACCCAACCCAAAACCGAGATGATGTAATCTATTTTAGTTGTTGAGTAAATCGTACGTACATTTTGTGCAAGTTACCCCCGATAAACAGACATGTATAACCAAGAACAACCAATTCTCCTTATATGCGTGCTGATGCTTTTACAAAATACCCGTGAAGATCCGGGTTAGAATTAGTCTTCAGTAACCCATGCTTGTCGTAAGAGGCAAGTAACGGGTTCAAGTGGTCAGGCTCGTTGAGTTTAAGTCGTCATATCCCAATTGCATAGACCGCCTGCGTGGTGTAGTGGTTAGAGCGTCCGCCCGGAGAGCGGAAGGTCGCGGGTTCGATCCCCGACCGCGTCATACCAAAAGACGTTAAAATATGGTTCTTGTTGGTCCCTGCCTGGCGCTCGGCAATAATTGGTACAACAAGGACTGGTCGGCTCGGAGACAGTATAATGTGTCTGAGTGGGTATTCATGCTTCACTGCGGCATGGTATCTCAGTGGGCTAGCACTATAAAACCAGCTTAAGTCTGGGCTAGTACAAGCAGCCGCACATACACATACACACGCATGCACGTCGTCATATGAGCGAAATAATCTCAAGCACGACGTTAAACCCAATTTCACCTCACCTCACCTCACCTCACCAATTGCATAGATGACTGGTGTCCGGTCCAGACTCGATTATTTACATACCGACACCATATAGCTTGAACACTGCTGAGTTCGGCGTTAAACAACAAACCAACCAACCTTTTTACAAAATGTCGAGTTAGAATGTCGAAACAAGATACGAGTAGGTGCTATGCTGGCCCAATAGGCTACGTTAAGTTAACGACATAAGATTGCTACGTCCCTACTCTATATTAATCTATTTTAAAAACAAGGACGTATTTAGACATGTACAGCCTCTATAATTACTGATCTGTATAATTCGATCATTCCTTAATTTAAGTGAGTGAGTGAGTATGGTTTTACGCCGCTTTTAGTAATATTCCAGCAATATCACGGCGGGGGACACCAGAAATGGGCTTCACACATTTTACCCATGTGGGGAATCGAACCCGGGACTTTGGCGTGACGAGCGTACGCTTTAACTACTAGGCTACCCCACCGCCCTTAATTTAAG